CCCCAAAACCCCAAAACCCCAAAACCCCAAAACCCCTTTGGGGGTCTTCAGAATTGAGCTATTTAAATATGAATACTTTTATTCTTGTTTTGCATGAGCTTCTAAGCCTTTGGTTCTGGTTGAAAATTAAGATGGGGAGGTAAGGTTTTAATGAGTTTTTAAGAACTTTGGAAGATTTGGAATGGATAGAGGGAAAGTAGGAGAAGGAGGCTTGGGATTTTAGATTGGAGAAATTTGGGGAGTTTGATGTGGAAATAGGTCCCAAAAGTGTATAAACATGTAGGAAAGACTTGGTATATAAATGATATGAGAGATGATGGCCTGAGGTTTTATTGGAGGAGATATGAAAAGGCTTAGAAAAAATTAAAAGTGGAATTTAACTGAATGTATTTTATGATCAGTTTTACTACTTCGACTCCGATTTAATTAAGTATTACAATACTTTTATGAGCCATTTGCACAAGGGCTATGGAATAGGATTTTATTTTGTAATTATAATCCTAAATCGTGACACCTTGACCCTCTTTATCTTTGAGATTTGAGACAATGAGCATTGCTAAGATCCTGAGCCTAAAATTTATAAAGAAATACGCACATTATATCCAACATCTGCAAGGGCTAGGAGCTCAGCATCTTCTACTGAAGGATGGCAATTACTTTGTGAAGCAGATGCCTTACTAAATTACGATAATAGGGTCTAAATTACTTAAATTCTCTATTTATAAACTTGCTCATAATCTGTCTCAAATTTGTATAATTTAGGAGGTCTTGTCAACCCATTATTAGTCATCTAGAAGCATATTTAGAAAATTATCCAATTACCGTTGTGTGCCTTTTAGTTGCCTCGGATTGTAATATCTCCATCTTGACATTCCCAAGTATGCTATCCTAGAAATTACTAAAAGTGTACAATTCGGTTCTTCCTCATCGTCATTCTGCCCATCTTTGCAGAGGGAAATATCATGTTATTAGAAGAGCTTAAATCTTTATCACCCAAATCACTTGCCTATTGGATTAAGCTCCTTCTTACTTTAGGCTTGGGGTAGACCCTGATACTTGGTCTGACGGTATTATTTTTCTCTATAAGTAGTTATTAGAAGGCTCTCAAGGTCTAATAATTGAAGCTTACTCTTTTTCTTGGGAAACCACTTCTTGAAAAGGTCTCACCATCAACAAAATTTCATCACTGGAATTTTTCAATATTATAAGTAATTACTGGGGTTTTGGGGTTTTGGGGTTTTGGGGTTTTGGGGTTTTGGGGTTTTGGGGTTTTGGGG